TATAGAGATGACGAAATCTTCTACATGATAAACTTGTATATGTACTAATAATCACACAGATATACGAAATCTCCTAGGCGATAATCTCTACCATTAATGTTTTATTTCATTACGTGTATTGACATACATATATATATATATATGTATGTATTCTTTTACGGTTCATAAATACATGCATATATATATATATATATATATGTGGGTATGAACAGTGTGAGTGGACCTATATTAAGGTCATAATTAGAATTTACAGTGGGTGGGAATGTGATGTCTCCAATTTCACTGTTTTCTTTGTCGTTATACATAGAGAAACTTTAGTGTTCACGGATTGAAAACAAAGAATACTAAGGAATAGAAAAGAATTCGACAGATTCTGAAAAATAGAATTGTTATCAAGTCATTGTTTCCTGATCACTTCATTCTCGTATAATAGCTTTAGTATATTTGGACATAATATATACATATAATATTACATAAGAAGAAAGGAGAGATATCGATTCTAAAGATAGATTGATGGTCAAATAGAAATAGAAATGACAGTGTATGTTGGAATGAAAGTTAGTAAATAAGATTAACGGTTTTGTAAACGATGATTTAAAGCGTTGTAGGCTCGGGATCCCTCGCCAAATCGCATGGACGGTTAATGATGCTACGGTGTCTATGAGGGTTTATCTTCCATACGGGGGTTTCAAGCACTTCAACTAGAGTTTGTCTCTGCCAGGCTTAAACTCATTATCTAAAGAATCGATTCATCCATTTTCCAATGGTCTAAATGATCTCTAGATGCATTAATATACCCTATCATGAACCCAAGGCAAGTTAAGCCATTTTCCAATGTGAATAACTCACATATTTGATGTTTAGTTCCAAACAACATTCATATCCCTATGACCAATGTGTTCTATCATCATATCAACTAAGGTTTCATCCAAGTCAATAGTATTAAGTATAAAACATCAAACCCATGGAAGAGAACTCATAAACACATAGATTAAGCATAGATATCCATAAAAAGTGGGGATCCTTCACCCACAACAAAGTCACTACTTCATAACTAGAGTTTCAAAACAGAAAACAAAATGGAGAAACATGGAAAAAGGGAAAAAATGCTCAAGATGTCTTCAATGGTGGTCTTCTTCTTCCTCTTCCAATTCTCCCCCTTAGCTCCCAAAAATTTCCCAAGAACTCCCCCAAAAACGCTCTCCAAGGTCTGGTCAAAAGTCCCCCTTTTTCTCTCACTTTCCTTCCTTTTGATGCATAATTTCGTGGGTTTCCAACTCTTTCACGGAAAATTTCAGGCGATCGCTTATTTTCTCTTCTAGATCGCTCATTTTCTCATCAGGGTCACTCATTTTCTCATGTTCAGTTACAAACGGGCGGTCGCTCATAATTTCAGGCTGTCGTTCAGAAAAACGGCGGTCGCTCAGGCGATCACTGATTTTCCTCTGCATTTCCAATTCTGCGTTTTTATTCATTTTCAGGCGGTCGCTCATGAAAATGGGCGACCCGCTGAATCCTCTGAGCCTTTCGGGTCTTCTCAAAACCATGCTCTTTTGTACCGCGCTCGTGAGAATTCTCATGGACTCGTCCTACAAGGGAAAACAAGTAAAAGAACCTACCCATTGTCGTCTAAAACGTCCTATAATACCTAAAATGTATGAAGAAATGGAGAGCATGACGTTAGAAAACCGGTGAAAAAAATCGTGTGATCATATCTTAATGCGATAAACCTTGATTTTGAATGATATAAATGTGTAGAACTTATGAATAAAATATGTCCTACCATACTTTACACTATGATGGTTGTCGGAATCTTTTTGTGCAAGTAATCAGAGTAGCGTTGCGATCTGGACTACATGTTTTTTTTTAAATTTTACAATCTCTTCTTTCTTTTGCGTTTTGGATGTTCATATATCCAAATCGTTCAAAGGAGAATAAAAACACCAGATTCAAACGATGTTCTATAACAAAAATAAGTCAAAACTAAAAACTCTAGGATCAAATAAGATACTATGACAAAAAGAGTTAAAACTAGAACTTTAAAATCAAACGAAGTGATTTAAAAAAGATTAATACTCTCTAAATGATTGAAATTTGGTGTCTATGGATCGTTCTAATGACAGTGAAGTTCAGAGTTCGGATATATGTGAATGATTGCAGAATTTCGACATCTCTCTTGGGAATGTGAAACTCCATTGGAGTGATTTAAATTTTACACGGAAACAAAAAGAAATCGACAATAGAGGGGTCCAAAGTACTTAGTGCTCTGATACCATAAATAAACTTTAATGTTCAAGGATTGAAAACAAATAATACCAAGGAACAAAAAAGAATTTGACATTCTGAAAAAAAAAGAATTGTGATCAAGTCATTGTTTCCTTATCACTTCATTCTCGTATATTAGATTTAGTATGTTTGGGCAGAATATATACATATAGTATTACATAAGAAGAAAGAAAAGATATCAATTCTAAAGATATAAAAGATATAAGATATGGTAGAAAAATCTTTCTAGAAACGCGAATGGCAAATTGTTGTTTATTTGATTCTTCATCTGCAGATTTTTCGTGCTTGATATGCTCTGTTTTTAACTGTCTAATACACAAATGGATGATTGCCTTGTGTGTCACGTGATGTTGCTTGCTATTGTTTTTTCAATTATTTTTGGTTCTTTGGTCCGTCAACAATACAATCATTATATTTTAAAAGTGATAATTTATATTTCATTTAACGTTAAAGTCTATAGAAATAGCGATTTAGCAATGTTATGTAAAAGAAAAAAAAATGAAACAGAATGAATGTGAGATTTAAAAAAAGCTATACTAAACAAAAAATAAAAAAAACTTAGAAAACGTAAACGTGTATATAAAATATGTGTATGCATACATATATATAGAGATTTATCAATGTTATGTAAATTGAATCTGTTATTATGTATACATTTAAGTTACTAAATAATTAAATTTTAGATTCAATTAATTTATATATATATATATATATATTCAGATTCAAACTCCCATTGCACTTACATTTAAACTTTTTATAGTTTTATATTTTCAAAATTTTCATGATATTCAGATTCAAATAATATTTGTATTAATTTAATTTATTATAATATGAAAGGATTCATTGTTTTTTTTTTATAAAAAAATAGGATGCGTATTCTTTTCTCAACATGTGTTCTTCCCACTATACTTTTTAAAAAATTTAATTATATTCAGATTCAAACAATATTTATAATTATTTACAAAAAAGATTAATTTTAGATATATAAATTTAATTTATTATTACTTATTTTGATGGAATATAGAAATTTGATTTTAAAAAAGGAAAGATACGTGTAACATCCTAAGAAATCAACTGTAATTTTATATAAGGAGATTCACATATTAAATATTGAACTTTAACAAAATTTCCAAATTAAATACTCAACTATCTCACTTCCAAATTAAATACTCAACTATATTAAAACTCACAAATAAAAACTAAACTTTTCAAATTTTAACATATATCTAAGAGATAATCCAAAAAAAACCCTTTATTTTTTTTTTCGTCGCAGTTTAAACCCTATACTTTTTTTTATCCCAAAAAATCCTATACTTTTCAAATTTTTTAAAAATTATACACATTCATATACACATATTAATTATTATAAACACAAAATTAATTACACATTTATTTTCTACAAAATTAATTGCACATTTATTTTATATATTTATATGTATATATATATTTTATATATATGTGTGATATATGTACTTTTTCCTAAATATCATTATATATATAAGAAATTATTTATTATTTGTATATTGTTTTATATATAAGAAACTATTTTCCAAGGACATGTTTTTTTGGACAATTGAGCTCATATAAATAGTTTCTTATATATATATAATGATTTTTAGGAAAAAAATACATATATCACACATATATATAAAACATATATATACATATAAATATATAAAATAAATGTGCAATTGATTTTATAGAAAATAAATGTGTAATTGATTTTGTGCTTATAATAATTAATATGTGTATATGAATGTGTATAATTTTTAAAATTTTAAAAAGTATAGGGTTTTTTGGGATAAAAAAGTATAAGGTTTAAATTGCGACGAAAAATAAGTATAGGGTTTTTTTGGGATTATCCCTTAGATATATGTTAAAATTTAAAAGTTTAGTTTTTATTTGTGAGTTTAAATATAGTTGAATATTTAATTTGGAAGTGAGATAGTTGAGTATTTAATTTGAAAATTTGGTTAAACTTCAATATTTAATATGTGAATCTTCCTTTTATATATATATATATGTAATATATATATGTAAGATTTATCTAATTAGAAATAATATATATTTCGTTTTAATAGATGATAAATGAGTGTATGAACAATTATATTCAATTTATTCGGTTACAATTGATCTGGATCGGTTATTTTAGGTTTCGAAAAAAAAGGGAAAATCCAAAAAAAAAAACACTGAACTTTACAATTTTGATAAAAAAACACTAAATTTTAGTTTTTGTCAAATAAACATTAAACTTTTTAAAACAGTATAAAAAAACACTGAACTTTTTAAATGATCCAAAAAATACATAAACTTTTCTGTGATTATCAAAAAAACACTGAACTTTTTTAGTGATCCGAAAAAATACATGAACTTTTTCCGATTGTAAAAAAAAACTAAGTAAAATAATCTGACGTGTTTACATCTAATTGGGCCACGTCATTCATTTTGTTTATTTTGACAATCGTAGAAGAGTTAAGTGTTTATTTTGTCAAATTTAAAAAGTTTAATGTTTATTTGATAAAATAAAAAGTTAGTGTTTTTTGGTCAAAATTGCAAAGTTTAGTGTTTTTTTTTGAGATTTTCCCAACAAACATTCATTTAATTTTAATCTTAGTGTGCTCGGTTGGGATACAAATCGGTACGGTTAGCCGGTTAGGTTCGGTTTTCAAATAAGCCTTCCTTTTGCCAACCCCCAACATGAATCAACAAGAACGACCACTTCACCACTTCAAGCGAAATTTGAATTTCCGGCTTCTCGCAGGGACAGGCCCGTCCATATAAAGTAATAAACAACCGATGCACCAGCTCTTTCGCCACCGGATCACATCCAAATCTAGGGTTTTTCCCTCTCTTTCTAGATCTGTTTCTCCCAATTCCATGATCGGATTCCTCGGACAAATCTGAATCATCCAATTTATTGGCAATGGAGGCGATCGACGAATTGTTTCAGCTGTCGGACTCGATGCGTCAAGCGGCTGCTCTCCTCGCTGATGAAGATCCGGATGAGTCCACCGCTTCAAGACGACCTTCCACTTTCCTCAACATAGTCGCTCTCGGCAATGTTGTGAGTCTCTTGTCCCTTTTTCTGTTCACGAGTTAAGTTTTTGTATACGTGTGTATATAGATGGATGAACATGAACCGTCGAATGTTTATTGAGGATCTGACTAGGTATTGGGAGATGTTTTTTTTTGTTATCATTAGGACGCGTGAAGGAAATGCGTGGATCAAACCTTTCTTTTTTTGTAGGTTTCTTCTGAAAACTGCGGGAGACAAACTAAATAAGGTCAATGTATGATGCTAATCAATCACCACTTGATATCGAATGTGTTTGGGAGATGACGAGTTAAATGGTTGCTTTCCGTTGAAATTATCTTGGCCGTGGAACTGAAACAAACCTCTAAATGGGAAAGGATAACTTCTTCGTAGGACTTGATTGTGATTTTTATTACGATTCTGCACTGTGGTAGAGCATAACGATTCAAACATGAATTATGTGTATTGTGAGATGAACTACTCTTTGAACAATTCCATTTCCAATTGTAAGGATTACACGTTGAGGTCACGGGGGATTTTAAAAGGAATTCGTGTGGCCTTGTGAGGCCTGTAGGAGGTTTCTGAATTGGTGCATGGGCTTTTCAGTATCAAGGGTGCACTTTGAGACTATTTTGCGTGTTATTAGAATTTTGTCAAGAAAAGAATACATCTGGCCAACTCCAAATAAACTTTGGATTAAGGTGCTGTTGTTGTTGGTATTTTGACAAGGGAAATTGCAGAGACAAATACACAAAAAAAAAGCTGATTTATATTTTTGTCCTTACAGCATCTACTATTGTCTCTGAATAATTTGTTCTGGTTCTTTATGGATCAGGGAGCTGGGAAGTCCGCTTTACTGAACAGTCTCATTGGTCACCCTGTTTTGGTAATTTCTATTTTTACCAAACCTTGGTAGATTGCTGAGTGTTTGATCTTAGAACTTTGGTTCTAACAGAATTTTGCTTCCATATGTTCCTTCTGTGATAAATAATCCTGGACAGCCAACTGGTGAAAATGGTGCCACACGAGCCCCAATAGTTGTTGATCTAAATAAAGAAGGCTCTTTAAGCAGCAAAGCAATAATCTTGCAGATCGATAACAAATCTCAGCAAGTCTCTGCTAGTAAGGCTTCTTATAGACAACTACTAATTTTTTATTTATTTATTCATTCTATTCAAAAATATTTCTTGATGTTTTTCTCAGAACAGAAGCAAATGACACTGCTCATAGTTATTACACTGATAAGACCGTTGTTGAAATCAAATTAACTTTTTATCAAATTGATATTTTAGGTGCATTACGACACTCCCTACAAGATAGGCTGAGCAAAGGATCTTCAGGAAAGAGTCGCGATGAAATATTCCTGAAACTCCGGACAAGTACAGGTTGATTCTCTGTTACTCTTTTTTATTCTAAAGGAGCAGAGTCTCAAAGATCAGCCACTGATTTTTAGTCATATTTGGTTGAACAAACTGGATTATATCAATAGCCAAAGGAGGAAGGATACCTCCATAGGCACAAATAAGAGATGCAATTTCGTGCACATGCTAGCATAATGATGCTTTTTGTTGAAAGATTTCAAATCTAGATAAATACAAGAGAGTATACAGTCTTTTATTGTTTCCAAGAATCTTTACACTGATTGAAGTAACGACAATTACTTCTCTCACCTTTTCGGTAAGTTATATGTTAGTTGGCTTTCTTCTTTCTTAGTCTTTTAGATCTTAGGCAAACTTATTCAGTATCATTCTACTACCTATTTTGTGTTGACATGCTGCAATTATGAATTCTTAATCTTTGCACGCCAAAACTTTATAGATTATATCTAACAGATTTTTTGTTCTTCTCTAATTTTAACTTTCAGCACCACCTTTAAAATTGGTTGACTTACCTGGATTGGATCAACGAAATATGGATGATTCATTGGTGAGTGGCTGATTAAAATATGCTGGTTGGAGGAGTGAGTTAAAGCTAGATCTATCTTATACAATATTTGATAACCAACTTTTTGTTTTCTTTTACATTGTAATTTACCTATTTCTTTACCGGTATGGCTGATTAGGTTGGTGAATATGCGCAACATAATGATGCTATTCTGCTGGTTATAGTTCCCGCCACTCAAGCTTCAGAAATTTCATCATCTCGAGCACTGAGATCTGCTAAAGAGTTTGATCCAGAAAGTGAGTATCATTGGACTCAAAATTCTTCTAAAATAAGGATTGATGAACGTTTGAGTAGAGAAAGTGTATAACTAGGTGTTAAGCTTGATTTTCTGTTTCAATTGTTAATGTTAGGTACTAGAACCATTGGTATTATCAGTAAAATCGATCAAGCAGCAGAAAACCCTAAAGCTGTGGCTGCGGTTCAGGCTCTGCTGTTGAACCAAGGTCCACCGAAAACTTCTGATATAGCCTGGGTTGCTCTAATTGGTCAGTCTGTCTCCATAGCTTCAGCCCAGTCTGGCAGTGAGAACTCTTTGGAAGCAGCTTGGCATGCAGAAAGTGAAAGCCTCAAATCTATTTTGAATGGAGGTCCTCAAAACAAGTTTGGCAGGCTTGCCTTGGTAGATGCCCTCGCTAGTCAAATCCGGAACCGTATGAAACTCAGACTTCCAAACCTCCTATCTGGGTAGTATTTGTGTCCTGATTCCTTTTCGTTTTTTTTCCTGAATATATACGATACATAAACCTTTTTTGAAAACATCAATTTTTTTAATCTTTGTGGATCATATCTAGGTCTTGTTTGTCCAGCTAGACTTTCATGAGTTTCCAGATATATATATATATACACACACACACATACATACAAACAAGGATGAAGAAATAGTATACTTTATAAGCTGGAAGTGCTGCATTTATTGTGTTATGCAATTAGGCGGAGCGTTTGCTATCACCATGTTTTTAGTAATTAAGAAAGTATATTTTCTATTATTTGAGGCTATACATTATTCTTTTTCTTATTGTAGCATTCATCCCCGTCTCCTTATAACCATGCCTTTTTTTATTTGTAATTTAAACCTCTGTAACAGTTCTCAGTTTCTTACTTGTCTTATTATGGGTTCGATACACAGGCTTCAAGGGAAGTCTCAGACCGTTCAGGATGAACTGCTGAAGCTAGGTGAACAAATGATTAGTAGCGTTGAGGGGACAAGAGCGGTAGCTTTGGAGTTATGTCGTGAGTTCGAAGATAAGTTCCTCCTCCACTTAACTGGTGGTGAGGTGAGTTCTCTGTTATAATCTGAGTAAACGTTGTAATGTGTTATAGTACTTGATTCGTTAATCTGGTAGTTCTCTGAGCGATCTCTCTCTTACTCTAGTGCTTATTCATTAATTCTGAAATTTTTAGTTTATACACTTTGCTTTAAGCAGGGGAAATGAGCCCCCCCCCCCCAAAAAAAAAAAAAAGGGGGAAAAAAAAAAAAAGAAAAAATGCCCCTAGAACAGCAGTTATTCTTCTGACTGAATATTTGTTGAACTTGAAGATGACTCTACAGTTTCTCCTAAACTTTATGATATATTTTAGGAAATTTTGTTGCAGGGTAGTGGTTGGAAAGTTGTGGCTAGTTTTGAGGGAAATTTCCCAAATAGGATCAAACAGCTTCCATTGGATAGACATTTTGACTTGAATAATGTCAAAAGGGTTAGTTTTTGGCTTGTCTTCCCCGCCATTTTCTTCATTTCATTCAGGTTGAAAATCTCTTGGTTGAAAATGTTCCCTGTTTTATCAGATTGTCTTGGAGGCAGATGGTTATCAACCTTATCTTATTTCTCCAGAGAAAGGATTGAGGTCTTTGATAAAAAACAGCAGTTATTCTTCTGACTGAATATTTGTTGAACTTGAAGATGACTCTACAGTTTCTCCTAAACTTTATGATATATTTTAGGAAATTTTGTTGCAGGGTAGTGGTTGGAAAGTTGTGGCTAGTTTTGAGGGAAATTTCCCAAATAGGATCAAACAGCTTCCATTGGATAGACATTTTGACTTGAATAATGTCAAAAGGGTTAGTTTTTGGCTTGTCTTCCCCGCCATTTTCTTCATTTCATTCAGGTTGAAAATCTCTTGGTTGAAAATGTTCCCTGTTTTATCAGATTGTCTTGGAGGCAGATGGTTATCAACCTTATCTTATTTCTCCAGAGAAAGGATTGAGGTCTTTGATAAAAGGTGTCCTTGAGCTGGCAAAGGATCCTGCACGTTTATGTGTAGACGATGTAAATTCTCTCAGGTCCTTGGCTTTCATTTTCTTCTTGATATTTGTTGCTGGTACCTTTGCTTCGAAGGGAGGCCTTTCTATCCTTAATTTATACAACAGACAATGATATGGTGTCAAACTTTGAAGTTTTCGCCCAGTAACACGTGATATAATCCATTTTGGAAGTTATGGAGAATTGGATGGTTGATGGTCTAGACTCCACTTAGCTAGGTTCACACACACCTTATTCCTTTGCGATTATCATTATGGAGTAGGAGTACTGAACTACTTAATGTTGTGTATATGAATAGGACATCACTGATAAACTCCTTTGTGGTCATAATTCCCAACTGAAAATTTAAAGCAAATGTTATGTTTCCTAAGTCGTATTTGGTTTTGCAAGTTCAAACCATTTGCTCTTCATTGCGTTATCCTTCATGTCACTCTTTTGATGTATTTTCTCCTTCTCACGGTTACTTTTTCATTCTTGAAAATCAGGTGCACCGTGTACTTGTGGACATTGTCTCTGCTGCAGCAGATGCTACTCCTGGTCTTGGAAGATATCCTGTTTTTAAAAGAGAGGTGATAGTTCCTTTCACTGCTTTATGTGATTATAGATTTTGAACTGGGAACCTTGTTCTTAATGGATTATAAAACTGTTGGTTAGGTGGTAGCCATTGCAAGTGGTGCATTGGATGGATTTAGGACTGAAGCCAAAAAGATGGTAATTGCCTTAGTTGATATGGAGCGTGTTTTTGTTCCACCGCAACATTTCATCCGTCTGGTTCAAAGAAGGCAAGTCATGCAATCAGTGCTCATTAGTTATTACCTTTCCTCATCTACTTTTTGTTAGGGAAGCTCAGATTTTGTTTACTGGGAAGCCTTAAATATGTCTTCTAATCTCACTCAGAGGATTATTGGCCTGTCTTTGTAATGCCTGTTGGGAGCTGTACTCTCAGATAGCTGCAAAGAACCATGTTTTGTTTCTGAGTTGTGCAAAGTAAAAAGGAAAAGTGTAGTATATCGGTCCCTTCTGTTGGAACCGTATGCATTACTTATAAGATGAGGATTGTACTAAATATAAATTCATTCGAGTCCATTATTCTTGTATGGTTAATTCTCTTCTGTGACATTTTTCACCAGAATGGAAAGGCAGCGTCGTGAAGATGAAGTTAAGAACAGATCCTCTAGGAAGGCAGTCGAAGCTGAGAATTCCATTTGGACTAGGGTTTGTGTCTTATTTAATTCTGTATCCGAGCTCGGTATTCATGGAGTGTTTCTAAACAGTTGAGTGTATTCAATGCTTTCTTTTCCATGTATTCAAGGCTACTAGTCCGCTGTCAGATGGACAATCTGGTGGTAGCTTGAAGTCGATAAAAGACAAGTCTGGTCAACTGGACAAAGATGCACCAGAGGGTCCATCTCTAAAAGTTGCTGGACCTGAGGGAGAGATAACAGCAGGTTTGTTCGTTAACATGTGAAAAAGTTTTCCATGGACTCGATGTTCATATGCAAAGCAACATTTTCTGAATTCACAAGCTGTAATGAGCTAGACTTAAACAGCTTCTTAATGAAGTAATTTTGGTTGTTGTATTGTCATAGAGAGAGGCTCTCTCTTGTCCTGAGCTGAAAGTATGATTGTGCTTCCTTGAGCCGAAACTATGACACTGTCATTCTTAGCTGAAAGTATTTTTTTCCTACATATCTCATATTTATTTCTTGCCTTGCCCTATTTTTATGTTATAGATCACACTTATGTTATTACGTGAGATGCTTTGTTTGTGGGAGTCAAGATGAAGGATTTCATTTCTTAAGTGTTCCTGTTAGAAGGGGGAAATACCTACTTGGCAGTCACTAACGCATGTATTCTTTGGCAGGATATCTATTGAAGAAAAGTGGGAAAGCTAATGGGTGGAGCAAGCGATGGTTTGTTTTAAACGAGAAAACTGGCAAGGTTAGTGTGATGTTTTCTTTTTCCAAGGTGCTAGTTTTTGTATCTGTCATGTACATTTGATATGTGGATTAGGAACAAATCTGCAACGTATTCCATAGTGTATGTGCAGTTTATGCCTCATGGTGAATTACAGTGGTGGTTACTTCTGCATGTCTCGTTCATTGCTCTTTTTATATGAAGGTCCTGTAGTGTGTTAGTAAAATTGGATTCTTAAGATCAGATCTGAATTCCCAAGGAATCATCTATACAACTTCCATTTTCCATTTGTTTGCCTTGAATGTATAATATTTCATTCTCATTGTGTTTTTTGCCTCGTGGGGCGTTCTTTCTTAAATGATCATTATTGAGAACTTCTATGTTTTCGTCTTGATTTTCCAGCTCGGTTACACAAAAAAACAAGAGGAAAGGAACTTCCGCGGTGTCATAAGTTTAGAGGTATTTTTGTCGACACTGACAATCGCTAATTTTTTCCTGTTTAGGATATTGATGATTTTTTTTAATCATCGTGCTAGTGATCTTTCTTCACCCTTTTCCTACAACATTCTGAGTGACCTGTTTCTGTTGATCTTTCAGGAATGCAATCTTGAGGAATTGTCTGATGATGAAGGAGAAAAAAAGAGTTCAAAGGATAAAAAAGAAAAAGGACATGATTCAAGCAAAGGGCCTGGTCTTGTTTTCAAAATATCGAGCAGAGTTCCGTACAAAACAGTATTGAAATGTAAATGATTTGTTCCACAGAAAGTATACTTGACATTTTTTTCTGTAACCTACTAACTGCTCAAACCCGTAACTTCTGCAGCTCATGCCACTATTGTGCTGAAGGCAGAGAACCTTACGGAGAAGGCTGAATGGTTGAGTAAGTTGAGAAATGTTATTCAAGCTCGAGGTGGACAAGTAAAGGGTGAATCTGGTTCTACCATGAGGCAAAGTTTTTCTGATGGTTCACTTGTGAGTCACATCTCACATCTAAACCTCGTTTTGCTGCCTACTTCATCTTTTGCGCTTTCTCCCTATCAATGGCATCGAAACCGCTCATCCTCTTGTCTATTGTAATAATTGTTCTATTTTCCTCCCTGTGCCATGTGATTTGTTTTCTAATGTTGCCTTGATAGAAGAAAACCGACTTTTCTCATCTACTTTCTCATAAAGTGGAAAGGGATGTCATGGAAAATAGTGATCTGCATTTCCATTTACATATCTCAAGCACTTAATAGCGCATTACTTGCTTTACAGGACACAATCACGAGGAAACCCATTGATCCAGAAGAAGAGCTACGGTGGATGTCCCAAGAAGTGCGTGGCTATGTTGAAGCTGTTCTTAACAGCCTTGCAGCAAACGTCCCAAAGGTGATTTCGCCTTGTCAAAATTGCAAGTACTTTCTCTGTTCATCTCCACCACTGTTATTTCAGTCATTAACTATACATGATGAACAGGCCGTCGTATTTTGCCAAGTCGAAAAGGCCAAGGAAGATATGCTCAATCAGTTGTACAGTTCTATTAGGTTGTTACCTGTCTCTTGCTTTATTGATCCTGAGTCTCGTCATCCATATTGCTCTGACAGCTACTAATATGCATCGATGGACAGTGCATTGAGCAACGAAAGGATTGAGACATTGATCCAGGAGGACCAGAACGTGAAGCGAAGGAGAGAGCGATACCAGAAGCAGTCTTCCCTTCTTTCGAAACTCACACGGCAACTTAGCATTCACGACAACCGAGCTTCAGCTGCCACAAGTTGGTCAGAAAACAATGTTGGAACAGGTACTAAAGCCTAAGGTTTTTTTTTTTTTTTCTAAATCCATGGAGTAGAAATTGCATGTAACATTCTTACACCACGGTCCAGAGAGTAGCCCGAGAACTAGGGGGGCCTTATCAGGCGTCGGGGAAGATTGGCGGAACGCTTTCAACGCGGCTGCTAATGGCATCGCAGGCAACTCTGGAGACTCGTCAACATACGGATCCAATGGTCACAGTCGTCGTTACAGCGACCGGGCTCAGAATGCTGACGTTGGCTCCGGTTCCAACTCGGCCCGTCGCCCTACGCCTAACCGGTTACCTCCAGCTCCGCCACCATCAGGTCCAGCATACAGATACTAGAGATCCTTCTCCTGCATTGGTAAACTTCTCCATTTTATTCATTCTTGGTCACGCACTGTGTAGTTTATATTTATGATCCAATTTTTCCTTTTGTTTTTGTTTTCTTGCTCCCAGGGTACGAATAATTTGTTCGATTTTTCAATACAATGGGGTTTTATTATTTTTTTTAAGGCGTGTTTGAAAGTATCGAAGATACATTTGCTTTAGAATGCTTAGATGATTTCCTGCCTACATGTGATTTATTTATTTTTTATAAGAGATTTTGTTTTCTTTTAATTAGGAAACAAATAACGTGTTTATATCCAAATAGATATGAATGAGATAAAAAATGATTGATTATTACTAGAAGATAATGATGGGGAAACATAATTGGTGTTATTGTGTTTTCTTACTTCTTTCTACTCTCATCCTTGTAGGCCATTATCAGAAATGCGAACTTGACCGCCTATCTTGTCCTAAAAAAAATTTGTCTCCTTCAATTATATGCTCAATATACATTTGTCAATTTACTCTTTCCATTATAATTAAATGTAACTTTTATACATTCTTTTTTTGTTTAATGTTTCTCTCTCTCCTTTTCACGAACTACTTCTCTCTTCCCCGATTAGTTTTCTCTTTCTTCGACATTATACGAAATCACTTTAAAAGTTGACGAAATTAGGGTTAAAAAAAATTATAAATAGGTACGTTAGAACGTAAATACTAATATTTATTATGAGCATTGATGAATCTGATAGGTTTTCTTTTGTATTTTGAGGTGCTTACTAATAAATAGATTTCAAATTGATTTGAAAATATATTACTTAATAAAAGTTAATATTTTTTGCTCTTTTTATAAAACACTAATGTTTTATTTTTATTTGTTGATAGTTGAGATTTTAAATGGACGTTTTTCAATAGGTAAATATTTATTGGATGTTTCAAAAAATTAAGATTTATTTCGATTAGCTTTTTTAGGTTGATGGTTTTTATGTATTTTTATAATAAAATTATTTACATTTTTCTTTTAATTTCTTTATAAATTTCTCTGTCGTTGAATATAATCAATTCTTCTATATTTTTTAGGTTTTGGTTTCTTAATTAAATGCTCATTTCGCTGCTACAAAAGTAATAGTTTTGCACCAACAAAAAATATTACTACTCATTGAAAAATACTCTTAAGATGATTGGTTGAAAAAAAAAAAATCGGAATAACCAAAGAAGGAACTAATTTTAAAAAGAAACATTTGTGGAAAAAAACGAGGCTGTATGCCATAAAAATTCTCAACTTATGGTAGAAAACTTTGAACTTTTTATTTGAAAAATAAATTTCTCAAAAATTCCATGAAAACCCCTAAATTTTATTAAACGTTATCGCTTAAATTAAATATTAACTTATCGTATCAGAAATCAATTTTTATATTTTTCTTCAGAAAATATATAAAATATTCAAATAGAATCTATAAATCGAAATTTTCTTAATAAATAGCTAAATCTGTAAAACAGTTTTATTTTATTATAAATCAATTTTAAAAATTTTCTAGAAAGAATTTAAAAATATATACATAGAAACTTTCATGAAATCTAAAATATTATTCGGAAAATAATTTAATTATTTATTAGAAGTCGAATTTCGATGAATTTATTAGTCAATTTGAAATTTTTACAAAACCTCACAAATACAGGATAAATAACGCGTTGAAATTTACAATTGGGCCTAATAACTTCTATCCATAATACGAGGACTTGGTAATATAGGGCCCAATGTGTCTTGGATCCAACTCGTACAATCAGTTTTAGAAGATCGATAAAACCAAAAACCCTAGTTGTACTGCAAGCTCCTCTAGTTCTTCGTTCAACTTCGCTTGGAGGGGAGAGAGAGAGAACAACAGCCTCTTCGGTTCCAGGTTAGAAAGTCCAGAGAAAAAACCCTTGTTCAAGTTCGTCTTCTGCACTTCGATTCTGGTTCCTTTTTGAATTCGAACGTGAATCTACGGCGGAGATTCTTACGCCATTCTGTCTTCTTTTCCCCTGGGAAATCTAGGCCCTGTTTTGGGGATTATCTGATTGTTCTCGCATTTGTTATTTGCGTTTGTGTGATGCGTGCGTCTGGATCGAATTAGTAGTAATTGGGGAAGGCACTGTTTGTAACGATGATTTCAATGCTTTCTATATGTTGATTTGTTTGTATCGTTGATATAGATTCCAGCATGTATCTGTTCATCGAAGTGTGTAAACTCTTGCGTGTTTATGTGTTTCATTGTCATTGTATCTGCCTCATATATATATATATACACACACACACATCACACATATACATACAAAGTTCGTTTTATCTGAATTTATACACAAAGGCCTTACTGCATTATTGGTTGTATTTTTTCATTTTTTGTAGGATGGTGAGAATCAGTGTTCTGAATGATGCTCTGAAGAGCATGTACAACGCGGAGAAGAGGGGAAAGAGGCAAGTGATGATCAGGCCTTCTTCTAAAGTGATCATCAAGTTTCTTCTTGTCATGCAAAAGCATGGTAGGGTTATGTTTTACTGTTATATTTGTCTCTGTCTTTCTTCCCTTTTATAGTTTCAACTTGTGACCCGTTTCTTGGTTGTCATTGATTTTGCAGGCTACATTGGCGAGTTTGAGTACGTCGATGACCACCGGGCTGGCAAGATTGTTGTTGAGCTAAACGGAAGGCTGAACAAGTGTGGAGTCATCAGTCCTAGATTTGATGTAGGTGTCAAGGAGATCGAAGGTTGGACTGCTCGTCTGCTTCCTTCAAGACAGGTTCGGTCTTTATTTAGAGAATAAAGAGTTATCATTCATCAACGATCGTTGTTGATTTTGGAATCATTCATTAGATTTCCTACTAAAAAGCAACTGACCCACCCGATGCCCTTTTCTCGGTTGCCATGCCATGGTCTTGTGGAATAACAATGTCTAGATTGTCGTTGGATTCACATTGTTTATTTGCTTAGTAACATTGCTCGCTTCGTCTGTGCAGTTTGGTTATATTGTTTTGACAACTTCCGCGGGCATCATGGACCACGAGGAAGCCAGGAGGAAGAATGTTGGAGGCAAGGTCCTCGGTTTCTTTTACTGAAGAGTGTCAGCTCTTAAAACTAGTTTTTTTTTTTTTACTTTCACTGGTCGGTGTTGTTTAGTAATGCCATTTTTGCTCATTTGTCGAGACATTTATTGAGATGATTTCAAATCTGAGTTGTAAAAGATTTTGCGCCAATCACCGTTCTACTTTTTGATGCAAAGGTTTTCAATCAGAAGTGCCTTCTCCTACTGTTACTTGAAATCTTCTACAGGTTCGTTAGGTCTAAATCTTTTGCAGGTTTTGCCAGCTCTATTGGCTTTCCTAGTTGGGCTTAATCGGGTTTCGGTTCAGATTCAGTTATTTCGGTTTTAGACAAACTATAACTGTTGGGTTTTTACATTGAATTAGGTTTGGTTCGTTTATATTTGGTTTGGGTTTGGTTCGTTTAGTTTGATTATGATATATACTTATTTTATTAAAGAAATTTATGGTTTTTGTGGTTATTTTATTTTATTTGGATCGGTTTTGGATTCGGTTTTAGATAAATCATAACCATTCGATTTTATATATAATTTGATTCGGTTATAGTTGGTATTCGGTGTTTGGTTATTCGGTTCTCAAAACTAGGGGTGGGCGAACGGTCGGTTACGGGTTAATCGGTTACGGTTATTTCGGGTTCGGTTATTTCGGGTTATTAAAACTCATAACCAAACGGTTAATTAATTTTATTCGGTTCGGTTCGGTTTCGGTTCGGTTCGGCTCGGTTTTGTCTATTTAAAACTATAACCAAACTATAACCAAATAAAGATTCGGTTCGGTTCGGTTTCGGTTCGGTTATAATATTTAAAAAATCAATTTATTTATAATTAGAAATATTCAAATATAATATATTATAAAATATTATCATAATTATTTTAACATATAAAATAATAATATCTAAATTTATATTTTGATATAAAACTATTAAATAAATAAAGATCATTTTTTTCTAATGTTTATATCATACAAACTTTAAAAACAATAATAACAATGATAAAATGCATTTAAAATATAATAAAACAATTATTAAATAAAGAATATAAACATTCATATATGTATATAAATATATATAAAGGAAGATATATAAACAGTGATCGGTTCGGTTCGGTTCGGGTTCGGTTTATAAAAATTTATAACCAAATGGTTAATAATTTTTAATCGGTTCTGTTCGGTTCGGGTTCGGTTATTTCGGATTTCAAAAAATCATAACCCAACGGTTATTTAATTTTATTCGGTTCGGTTCGGTTCGGATATTTATCGGTCGGGTTCGGTTATTTTGCCCACCCTACTCAAAACTGGCCAAATTCTTGGAAAAGCCCGCTTCTGTTAAATTTCTAAGAAAATAAAGTGCCGAACTTTCGTAGTCGTGTACAGTTCGTTTAGACTTCTTCTTCTTTGAGGCTCAGCATTTCAACTAATAACAAGGACCTTTCGAAACATACGTTAACACATCTCTTCATTCTTCGTTCAATGAAAAACACGATATTATTTTTGTAATCCATAGAAAAGAACGGAAATCCTTCTCCTTCACGTAATGGGGGTTTTTTATTTTGAAACACCTTCGTCGCAGCCGCAGCCGCAGCCGTCTCTTCCGTGGTCGATTCCCGTTGTCTCGTCCCACAGCTGTCGGACTCGATTCCATTTTTCGCCTTTTTGTTTGCTGTTCTTGTTTCTTCTCGTAAGGTTTTATCATTTCAACCTAAAGAACGATAACCTTTTTGAAACGTATCTCATTCTCGTTCGATCAATCTTTATTGTGAATATGTTCACACTTATCTTCAAGAATCTCTTTTACTCCACGAACACGAACCCTTCTCTTTCAATCAACTGGTTACGAAAGATACTTCATATTCCATGTTTGTTAATATAGTCATCACTTGGAAAAAAAACAAAGGGTGAACAAAATACTTGCGGGGTCCTTTTTGCAAATGAAAATCTTGCGGATAGAATTCAGAATATCGATTTTTTCGGTACCGTATGTGATATTTTTAAAACTTCATAAAGCAAGGCGAGATGTGTGTCTGTGCTTGTTCTTTTATAGAAACACACACACACATATATATATGTATGCATATATAGTCCCATTTAAGCACGTCAAGCATTGTGCAATCATTCAAAACGTTTGCATCTCGCTGCAATGTCACGGCCAGTACCCGTTGAAGGTAAGCTTGTGTGGATAAAAGGCTAACTAATATCATATGCATGACTTTCTTTTCTCCTCTTTTTAGATTTCCATACTGAAACTAGATCAGCCTCTGCGTCTAATTTCCTCCACAGAGATGATAAGAAGATTCAAGAAAGCACACGCCAATTCCCATATCCTCAAAGTGGACAACTTTTCTTTGCTCAAGAAGTACGAGGTTGAGGAAATCGAATCTTCTGTTCTCGCTTTTGGCGGTCACAAATGGTCAGTTCAGGAAACATGTTACAAACAAGAATCATATGGTGATACTGTTTTAAGCATTTTATAGTGATTTGGTTTGGTCTTTAACAACAGGAAGCTCATTCTTTACCCAAATGGAAATGAGAATGACAATGCAAAGGGTCACATTTCTCTCTACTTGGAGATACAAGATTCCGAGTCTTTGCCATTGAATTGGGCAGTGAAGATCCAATTTGACATTTTCATCCTCAACCAATTCCGACCGTTCTGGAAGAATCGATATGGTACTACACACATATATATATTTACATTGCTCGATCTTCATGATTATCATGGACATGCATGTTAATGTGTTTGATATAACCATCCATAATGGACCCACGAGTAGAACTCACCCTGAAAGCTAATTTGTTGAGGGAAGGTGCTTACAATATTATAAAGACTCAATTGTTCCCACATATGGTCGATGTGGAACTCTAACAATGTTATAAATGTGTAGGGTCTGTGGTTTTCGGTCCATATAATACCAAGCAAGGCTTTGCAAGGCTGATTTCTCTTTCTGAACTACATAATACTAGGCAAGGATATCTTGTGGATGATTGTGCTTTGTTTGGTGTGAAGCCATATGGGGTTCAAGGTGTTAAAGACGGAACAGCCGAATGCTTTACCCTCGTCGAGAAACCGATGAACAACAAAGTCACGTGGAAGATGACAAAATTCTTGGCTTTTGATCGTTTCGCAAAGTATAAGTCTCACGAGTTTGTAGTTGGAAATCGAAAATGGTTAGTGCAATATATAACAAAATGGCTTTGTTAGTGTTTAAGGTTGATTTGTTTAGTAAAGATGTTCAATGCATTCTTACAACTATAATGGCAGGAGTATAGAAGTTCATCCACGAGGTTTTGAGGAAGGCAAGGGCAATTCACTTTCCGTGTTTTTGAGGGGAGAAGGCTTTATGGACAATTCAGTACCAAATGCTAAGACTTATGCACGTTACAAGTTGCGAGTACTGGACCAAATCAACGGGAACCATGTCGAAGATACATGTATATATAGATATACATATACATACGATGGATAATAGATTATAGCATACTGATTCTCTATTTGATCAACATATGAAGTCCTTTTATCTTGTTCTCTAACCATTGATTTCTTCTTCGTTCATGCAGGCTTGTATTGGATTCCTGTTGATCCAATTGGTTGTGGTTTCGTAACGTTGATGCCCCTCAAAGCTCTTCATGATCCTTCAAAGGGTTATTTGTTGGATGACACACTCTATGTGGGAGTTGAGCTCCAAGTTGTTTCTGTCTCAAATTATTGCTAAGCAACTGGGTAATAACGAAGTTATGTGATAAACTCAAAATGTTTAGTATTTTGTAATATATTATAAATGCATGCCATCGATTGCTAATCGTCTGTTTGTTCAAACTCACTTGTGAGATTACAAAGAATTTCATTTCGTATATAGTTTAGATATTAGTGTGTTTCCTATTTGGTTTGAGTTTATCTATTCCTTATCGTATTGTCGTAGAAATTATGAATTCTATTAACAAAAAAACTACGTTGTATATTTAAACTCAATTTGATTATCATTAATACATGCAAATCGTTGACGTTTACTGTTTAGTGGTTTTAAAGCTGTTTAGATTGAGTTCAAAGTGTTTAGGACAATGAAGAAACGAAACAATACATAGCGCGTAAATTGAAAACTGTAAGTTTTTTTTTTACTTTTATTGTGGACCGGATATGATTATTATAAAATAAGGTTTGTCATGTCGGTTAACTCCAACTAAATGTGATCGGGTTTCAGTTTTAACCTATTGGACTTCGGTATTGAATCGAGTATAGGGTTTAATATATGCGTAGATACTGGTCGGTTATTATCTAATTTTATGATGGGCTAAATTGGATAATACCGAATAAGGATTTTGGTTATGGTCCCTGGTTCACGTGTACCGATTAATGTAGAGTTTGGTTTGGTTTGGTTTTGGTTCATGTAGATTGAAGATTCTTTGAATGTGCATTAGTCTTGATCATTAAATTGATTCATTAATGGAGAAGAAGAATGACCATTCGGTTCTTGGTCAATGCATGTTCATGCATTCTTTGTTCTCTTTTGGCTATAAATAGTGCACAAATCTTCATTCTCTACATCATGTGGTTTTGACAAACCAATCTTAAGAATTCTCTATATGTTCTTGATTCTTATCCCATCAAAGACTTAAGAGGTTAAGGTACACGAAGAATCAGAAGCTCGTAACCGTTTACGCTTCCGATCATGACTCCAGGTCCGTGTGACACCCGAATCCCGCATCCCGTGAACAGGATATGCCACATGGACAAAACCAATAAAATATAATAAAACCGAAAGTACGGGAATTAAAAATCATTTTTACATAAAAGTACGCAGCGGAAATAACATACATCACACGTCTTTTAAAACAACACATGTCCAAAAACGTAATTTAAACACAACCGTTTTCACATGGAACCATGTTCCACAGTCCAAAACACACGAAAGATAAAATGTCCGTACATGATGTCACCGTTCCCAAGTTGTCGTCGTCGCAAGTGCGCTACTCGTACTCCTCGGGATCTGAAAAATTCAACAACAGAGGGCTAAGCATAATGCTTAGTGAATGGCTCGGATTGAGCCCGGAGAGCCCATTCTCATGGAGAACGGTGCCAACTAATCTCTCAATACAAGAATTCTTTTAATCCATTTAATCCTTTCTCATTTATCTTTTTAACACTTTAACATTATTTCACACATTTTTCCGATACCTGATAGTACTGACTCAAGTCGTCCACCGGCACTATCAGGTACCGTTCCTTTCGGTATCATCTAGTACTGACTCAATTCGTCTACCGGTACTAGACTTTACCCCGCTTCCCTATAATAGTACTGACTCCACTTCGTCAACCGGTACTATTATAAAGACGACCACTCAGATCCACCAGTACTGACTCCACGCCGTCAACCGGTACTGGCTTCACTATACATTTCTTAACGGTACTGACTCCAAATTCGTCAACCGGTACCGTTTCAGAAGTGTCCACCCAACTATACCAGTACTGACTCCACATCGTCAACCGGTACTGGTATTCCATTTCGGTAATAGTACTGACTCCCAGTTCATCAACCGGTACTATTACCGAAACCACACACCACCCAGT